GGGAGAGAGAGAGAGAGAGACACACACACACACACACACACACACACACACACACACGGCTAATTTAAGCTGCTTCTTCTGAAGGGAAAGTTAGAAAGCTAGCAGAAGTATTCTGAAATGTAATCCAAGTACAAATGACAGTCCCTCCAGGCAGTTGTTTTTTTTGTCTTTTGTTTTGTTTTTTTAAAAAAATCTCAGCCAACTCAAAACACATTATGTTTCACCCCGGATCTGTCCACAGGAAAAATGTGGTCAGGATTCTAAGCATATCTACCTGCTTTTGTAGAAATCTCATGTACTTTTCAGTTAAAAGACAAACCATCTCTCTCTTTTTTTTTTTGATTGTGTGTGTGTGTGCACATGCACACATACACTCACACACTGGTACTGAGATTTGAACACAGGACCTTAGACCTGTCCCTGGGCTTTCTTGTTTAAGGCTAGCTCTCTACCACTTGAGCCTAATCTACATTTCTGGCTTTTTGCTTGTCAATTGGAAATTAAGAGTTTCACAGACTTTTCTGTGCAAGCCAGCTTTGAACCATGATTCTCAGATCTCATGTTTCTGAGAATCTAGGATTACAGGTGTGAATCACCAGCAGCCTAGCCTACCTCCTTTTTCTTCTTCTTCTTTTTTGCTGGTCTTCGGGCTTGAACTCAGGGTCTGGCCTCTGTCCCTAAGCCTCTTTGTGTTCAAGGCTAGCACTCTACCACCTGAGCCATAGCACCACTTTTGGCTTTTTCGGAGTAGTTTATTGGAGATTAGAGTCTCAGGGACTTTTCTGCCAAGGCTGGCTTCAAACCATGATCCTCGGATCTCAGTCTCCTGGGTAGCTAGGATTACAGGCGTGAGCCACCAGTGCCTGGCTCTCATCTCCTTTCTTAATGCTTCATTTATACAAGACCTCATAAGGTTCGGGATGTCTTTTTGTTCATATGTGTTCAAGAGAACACCAAGTCACCTTTAGGTAATTACCATGTGCCACTGTAGGGAGCAACCTTATAGAACCAACCTGACCTAGCACATAGTAGGTATTCAAGGTCATTGTTACAGCAATGCTATTCCAAGAATATGTCCCCAAAAGAAAGAAAAGATCATCTTTTCTTCCCCCCCTTTCCCTCCTCCCATGACCCTTTTTCTCCCACACATGGATCCAAAACTACTCTAGGCCAAGATATTTACATGAAGTTTAAATGTCTACCTATAACTCAGGTTTTGACTCATCACAAGGACTCAGGTTAAGACAAAGATATAAGATTAGCAATGAACCTGCACGTTCTAAGAAAATAAGGATTATCTTAAGTCCCTATGGAATGTATACTAATATCATTTTGCGAGACACTGCACGCAAACAAAACCACCCAACAAGCCACCGTATCCTGAGAAAGATCCCAATAATCCTTTGTAAAACTCTGAAAGTTAGGTGGTGATGATGGGACTGTAAATGCTCCACTGATCTGCACCAGGGGGTCTTTCTGTCACCAGGAAGAATTATTCTCTGTGTTAGCAAAGAAAGTGTTACAAACTTGGAATAGTAGCTAAAAGGAAAGCATCCCAAATAACCTATTAAATTAAAATTTCACTTCTGATGCCAAAATGCTGGCTTAAATGTCAAATTTTATTCAACATTTTTTAAACAGTTAAAAGAATCACATCTAAAGCATAGGGGGAGTAGGTACAAGTACCAGGAAGTGGGAAACAAGAATCAAAATGCAACATGAAATCTTATCTGAAAAAATGAAAGTAATAAGGGGTGTGATTCAAGTGGTAAAAGCCCAGAGTTCAAATCCCCACCTCACCCCCCCTAAGAAATTTCTCAGATAAAGTGAATCCTAATGCTGAACCCAAAGGTAATTTTCCTACATAAATGCATGTATATATGTAAATATGCATTTCTGAGTGTGCAGTAGTCCTGGAGATTGTACTCAAGGCCTTTTGTTTGCTAGTCTTGGTCTTGTCATGGCTGGCCATTTCCTACCAACCACCTCTTGCATTGCTGGAACAACAGGTCTGTGTTACCGTACTTGGCTTATTTCTGGCTGATATCTTGATAACTTTTTGCCCAGGGTTTCTTGAAACTCAGTATTTCCCATCTCTGCTGCTTGAATAGCTGGAATTACAAACTTGTGCCACCAGACCTGGCCGAGTATGAATTTTTTTTTAAAAAAAGAACTACTATGTTTACAATGTTGTGGCTTGCTTTTTTTCATTAAATATAATCATAAGTATTTCTTTATGTCAGGAAATAATGGTACTTTGCATAGTTCTAAGAAAGCCATTAGTTATTTAGCCAATTTCTTATTGGAGAATATTTAAGTTTCTAAATTTTCACTTTTTAAAAATGAAAAAAAGCTATCAAAGACAAAAAAATTTAAATAATTGCAATACACCAAAGCAGATTTTTTTACACAAATGAATTTTATAAACTCAATACTAAAAACAAAAGAAAAAGGGGTTCACAAACAATGGTTTTTTAAATATATGAAGTTATGGCCATTGGACAAAAGGCATACAAATTAAAATTCACACTAGATGTCTTTTTACCTCTTAGCTTCCTATTTACCTCTAAGTTTTATGTTTGTGTTGGTACGGTTCTGAAATTTTGTTGATGGGAGTAGAAGCTGCTACAACCCTATCAAAATTCAAAGTGAAAAGTCCTTTGGTCTCAGCAATTCTGCATCTAGGAATCGATTCTACAGATACTCAACAGCCATGCACCAATATTGGCATAGGGCTACTCTCTGCAGCGTTCTCGGTGCCTCAGTGGATGGCTAGTTAGATTCCCTGTGGCATTCAACGAGTTAAGGAAGTACAGCCATTGCTGGAATGAAGGTGCTCTGTATACACTGATCAGAACTGCATGGCAATGGCTGACAGCAAGGGACTGGAAAATCTTTGAAATATGTAAGTTTAGCAAATGCCATTGATTATTCCAATTCAAGTCATTTGCTTAAACTCAAAGCTAATAAATTGTGGTGCTGTTTCAACTCAGGCATTCTGGTTTCAAAATATAGGTCTTCTCGTTAACTCTTAAGACCATATCGTTAGTTCAAACAAACAAGGGGGAAAAATTACTTGAAGATAATGAAAAAAATTTTAAGTTTTCTGATCAACCAACCCTTATCTGATATTGAAACCCTTCACCAACATCTTGCCATAGGCCACCCAGTCAAGTGCTTCTACTAACAGAAAGCTCATACCTACCATATCAGCCTGTCCTATTTTTAATCAATAACCATCTCCCCAGTTGTCACCCACTGACTCTAATTCTCATCCTTGTGTGATCATAGTGAGCACTCTAACCCTGGGTCAATTATTTGCAAAGCAGCTCAACTCTATTATTTTTTTTCTAGGTTAAACATTCAGATTTTCTGGCTTGTTTCTCACTCTGTGATATCTCCCTATGCAAATCATTCTCTTTTGAATGATGTACAATTAATTCTATTTTTTTTAAGATTCAGATCAGAAAGAATCCCCCAAAGTGGATTAAGCACTTAACCATTTCCATTCTGGAAAAGTACCGTTTTTCAAACTTAGTGCTTAGTCAGCTCTCCTTCACACAGCTCTGAGGTTGGTTTCTGGACTATGAATTGTCACCCTCATTAGATTTTATTCTTCACTGTGGCCTATTAATCTCATCTTTTGGATTGTGGTTATGTCAGCACACACAATCACCTTCCTTTCTAGCTCGGAGTGGGCCCCAGTGAGGTCAATTTATCTTCACTACCTAAGTTCAATAACTAGTTTATCCAGTAAGAACTTGGACCCACCCTTGAAAAGCCAAAGCAACTTCCAAGGGCCAGAACCCATCATAAGGTGTCATCCCAACACCCAGGCACCGGCTACTGCCTTTCAATTGCCTCTCTACTAACACGATGCCATGATCCTTTCACAGTATTTTTTTTCATTAACTCTTCTGATTTCCAAATCAATTCTCATTTTTATAGCAGAGGGCAAGGGAAATTTGGTTCAAAAAAAACTTAAACATTTACGAACAATAAAGGATACTCCAAATACTACATTCATTCTAAAATACAGTGTTTATCTTCTTAAAAGAATCACTCTATTTTACAAAGACCATCTACAAACATGAACTGTCTACATGGAACTTCAAAGAATTCTACTGAGTTTTGCATAAGTTACTCATTCAGAAGAGTTATTCATTATTGCCATGACTATTTTTCATGGTCTTATCAACCATGACAACCCAGGATCCTTCTTGAAGCAAACTATTCCAGAGCAGTAGACCTGGTATTCTTAATTAGAACCGGCATGACACCGCATGCTTGGGACCATCTGAACAGTGATACAGATGTTTGGGCCCTGAGCTGCCCAGGAAACCACATGGGAAGTGTGAAAAGAGGCCTGGATATATTTTTGGAAGACTTAAGATGCAACATTAAATTTCACCATGCTTCAGTTCTAGGGCCTTAGGAAACTCTCTGGGCATCAACCTTTCCTTTGTCCTGCTCAAAGTTAACCTTGAGTGAAAATAACTCAAGAGAATAAATGGCCGTGTACTAGAGGAGATGTTATGTGATATCTGAAAACCCATTAGAATGTATTGAATATTCATTTTTTAAGTTTACCTCAAATTTTTATCTTAAAATGCCTATCATGATTCAGAATTCAATCTTAACGTATCTAATAAATACAGCTGGGAGTAAGTATTTAATACCCTGCTACTCAATATGTGCAGAGGACCAGTACCATAAGTTTCCCTAGGAAGCCTATTAGCAATGCATCAAAATCTGCATTTTAAACAAGGCCCCAGATGATCTATGTGCCTGTAAAAGTCTGGAGAATAACTGCTTTAATAAATCATAAGCTTCCTGAAATTAATTTCCATGTTTTGTTGCTGTTGTTGGTTTTGGTGGGCCTTGAACTCAGGACCTGGGAGCTCTCCCTGAGTTCTTCTGTTCAAGGCTAGTGCTCTATCACTTTGAGCCACAGAATCACCTGGCTTTCTGTTAATTGGAGATAAGAGTCTTACAGACTTTCCTGCCTGGGCTGGCTTCAAACCACAATCCTTAGACCTCAGCCTCCTGAGTAACCAGTATTATAGACATGAGCCAGCAGCACCCAGCTCCACGTGTTCTGTGCTTTCTCTAAATAGCTGGCATAGTATTTAAGAAAATGGGCTTCTAAAGTGAACAAAATATTTCTTGTTTATATTTGGTATCTTTTATTCCTAGAATCTCAAGTCAGGAAAACAAAAAAGGAAAAGAGAAACTAAATTCTTCACCTTTCTTCTATTAAATTTACTCACTCAGAAAATATTTAATTACTGAGGGGAGGGAAGAAACAACATGTAACTTTGCTTCCTAAAGCTAGACAAAACAGAAGTACAATTGAAGTGTCTATTAATTTTCCAAGAGTCTATGTCTAAACGTGCCTTTCTGATAACTTTCTGCTATGGAATAGTTGGTGGCAATTTATAACTGCTTCTCTAACATCTAACAGAGATATAGACACAATTTTATAGAAGTCTCCATTGTCTCTGTCTTCTACAGATCAAATCTTTGTTTTAAAAATTAAAAGGGCATAAATGAGACAGCCAGAAGGGATGATTAGCATGGCTGATTTATGACTATGTTACAAATGCTTTATTTCTGGGAATGAGATATTACAAATGCCTTAAAAATTGTTTGCTAAAATGGGTCTAAATGTTTAATTTACCAAGAGTTTTGAGACAAATAACCTAGCTTTCAGACTACGTACTGTATCCCATAATATAATTCTGGGAGACTGATTAATCAACCTGGTTCACTAATTGAAAGATGATAGTCTAGAAATACTGAGCATGATGTATTTGTAAACCACCTTTATTAAATAAACATTGAGGCACATCACAATATATTTGATTAGAAGACAGGATCAAACTGAATGCGTACTAGAAAGAGTTCAATGAGATGGGTTTTACCTGCTGGGTCTCTGATCGGTTCCCAGTGTAAGTCACTGTCTTTTTCCCTGATCCATCCACAAAGTCCATGGTCAAAATTACAGCTGTGTACCAGAACACCTACAGGAAACAACCAGAACAGATGAGTAGCTATACACACTCAACAAATCACAACAAGTGATTGTGATCTAGGACTATCTGTATAGCAAGTGTTCTCTCCTGTCCACACTTAATAACCCAGGCTTTTGATCCATGAGATCAAAAGGAAATTACATGAATCATTTCCCAGCACCATTGTGCATGCCTGGCTCAGCTGCAAAAATAGAACATGCAAGTGTTGCCAAATCATGGCCTTGTGACATTACCACTTAGAAAATATGATTTCCTTCTCACCATTCAAATATTACTTTATTATATCTTAAATGGGGATGACTCATGGTTCTCTTTGCTTAATTTAACCAAGTTGTGAAAAATAAATAGAAGACAATATATAATCTTCCAGCATAGACCAAACGAGGAGCAACATCCGTCATTTCCATGAAATGGATGGAACAGAACATTAGGATAGTTCCTACCTGGGTCATCCTTCGCCTCATCATCCGCACTGATTCCTCTTTCTATCTCAAATATTTCAAACAAGTCATTCGACGGCTGTCGAGGAACTACAAAAGAGAGGTGTTTTTTATTCTTTTTTTTTTTTTTT